TTTACCTTTATCAGACACAGACATATATGCAGTTTTTAGAAAACAGGCTTCATGTGTACATATGCACATTTATTCCTTATTGGGGTGGTTGTAGATTCCCACGCAGCTGAGATCCTCTGTACACTTTGCCCAGTTTCTCCCAGGGGTGACGTTTTGCAAAGCTGCAGTCTGATGTCACAATGATGTTGACAGACCCCACCTGCCTCACTCAGAGCCCACTCTTACTTGTAGCGTTCATCTGTGTGGGGTGGCTGCTGAGTCCCACACAGCTTTGCACCTGTGAGGGTTCATGTATCCACAGCAGTCAAGACCAAATGGTTCGAACACCTTTACAACCATACCCACCTCCCTCCCACGCCCCTCCAGCTTGTATACATATTTATGTGGTTTGCTTTGGTTTTGGTTAGCATTTTTTTAAGTTGTGACAAAGTAAACCATAACATAAAATTTACCATCTTAACCATCTTTTAAGTGTATAATTCAGTAGTGTTCTGTATGTTCACATTGTTGTGCAGCCAATCTCCACACCTGTTCATCATGCAAAACTGAAACTCTGTCCCCATTAAGCAGTAACTCCCCAGTTCCCCCTCCCCCAGCCCCTGGCACCACCATCTACTTCCTGTCTCTATGAATTTGACTCCTCTAGGGACTTCATATAAGTGGAATCATACAGTATTTGTGCTTCTGTGACTGGCTTATGCAAATTAACATAATGTCTTCACGGTTCATCCATGTTGTAGCTTGTGTCAGAATTTTTCCTTTTTATTGCTGAATAATATTCCATTGTGTGGACGTACCACATTTTATTTATCCATCATCCATTGATGGACATGAGGTTACTTCCACCTCTTAGATGTTGTGAATAAAGCTGCTATGAATGTGGGTGTACAAATATCTCTTCAAGACCCTGCTTTCAATTCCTTTGGGTGTAAACCCAGAAGTGGAATTGCTGGATCACAGGTAATTCTATTTTTAATTTTTTGAGGAACTGCCATACTGGTTTCCACAGCAGCTGCACCATTTTTCATTCCCACCAGCAGAGTACAGAGTTCCAATTTCTCCACATCCCCACCAGCACTTGTTATTTTTACTTTACTTTTCTTTTTTTGTTTTTTTTGTATTGAGTTTTAGGAGTTCTTTATATATTCTGGACATTAATTCCTTATCTGATATGTAATTTGCCAGTATTTTCTGTGGGTTGCCTTTTTATCCTGTTGATAGTATCCTTTGATGGGCAAAAGTTTTCAAGAAATCCAGTTTGTCTATTTTTTCTCTTAATGCCTGTGCCTTTGCTATCATATCTAAAAAAATCATTGCCAAATCCAATGTTATGAAGCTTTTTCCCTGTTTTGTTCTAAGAATTTTTATAGTGTTAGGTTCAACCTTTGGGTCTTTGATCCATTTTGAGTTAATTTTTGTAGATGGCGTTAGGTAAGGGTCCAGGCTTATTCTTCTGCATGTGGATATTCAGTTTTCCTTGAACCACTTGTTGAAGAGACTGTCCTTTGCTGTATTGAATGGCCTTGGCAGCCTTTTTGAAAATCTGTATTCTATTTCATTGGTCTGTGTGTCTTCATGCCAGTAACACACTCTTTTGATTACTATAACTTCGTAGTAAATTTTTTTTTTTTTTTTTTTTTGCGGTACACAGGCCTCTCACTGTTGTGGCCTCTCCCGTTGGCGGAGCACAGGCTCCGGACGCGCAGGCTCAGCGGCCATGGCTCACGGGCCCAGCCGCTCCGCAGCATGTGGGATCTTCCTGGACCCGGGCACGAACCCGTGTCCCCTGCATCGGCAGGCGGACGCTCAACCACTGCACCATCAGGGAAGCCCCGTAGTAAATTTTGAAATCAGCCAAGTGTAAGACCTCCCACTTTGTTCTTTTTCAGAATTTGTTTGGCTATTTGGAGTCCCTTGAGATTCTATATGAATTTTAGGATGGGTTTTCTGTTTTTGCCCCCCCCCCCAAAAAAAGTCATTGCAGTTCTGACAGGGATTGCATTAAATCCGTACAGCTTTGGATGTTACTGACATCTTAACAATATTAAGTCTTCGATTCATGAAGATGGGCTGTTTTTCCATTTATTTGTGTTTCTGTTGGTTGTCTCGGCACTGTTTTCTAGTTTTCACGTACAAGTCTTTGACCTTTGTTAAGTTTACTTCTAAGTATTTTTTTCTTTTCGATTCTATTTTAAATAGAATTGTTTTGTTTCTTTTGGATTTTCACTGTTAATGTGTAGAAATGCAGCTGATGTTTGTTGATTTTGTATCCTTCAGCTCTACTAAATTTGTTTATTTTGTGGAATCTTTAGGGTTTTTTACACATAAGATCATGTCTTTTGCACCCACCTTATATTTTAATATTGTTTTGTAACTTCTTTTTCACTTAATAAATGTTTCAAACATTTTCCCATGTTTCACGTCTAATTACAAATTTACCAAAATTTGTTAGAACCAAGTATTATTGGGTCATATGGGCACAGCACACAGTGAATGGAGGCCTCGCCCTCCCCAAACTCCTCGCGAGCACGATGCACTAAGGGACTTCCAGTCAGTTCTGCCCCGTGAGCCGTCAGAGTGTAAAGGCCAGAGGCCCTCTGGCTGCATAGCAGGCAGCTGGCCTGTCTGCCCTCCGTGCTTCCTCCCACTTCTCCCCGCCAGCACTCCGCTCCTCTGGGAAGCTCCCTGAAGCCAGGAAGGAGGATTCTATCTGAGCGCCCTGGCTAAAACCCAGCTTCTGTAACTCACTCTTTTCTGCCCGATGACGAGCATCTGTACTGCAGTCCTCAGATCAGCACACACAGACAGGAGAGTGTGGAAGCGGGGTGCTCTGTGTGCGCTGAGGAGGGGTCCCCAAAGGTGTCAAGGAGGGGCGACCTGGAAGCAGAGCTGAGGAGAATGGGTTGGTGGGTGTCAGGGGAGAGAGTGCTGGGTGCTGACAGCTCTAAGGGTCCAGGGAGTGTGTTAATTTAACTTTTGTCTCTGTCTCTGTACAAAGAGGAGCTGAACACTGGAGGGGGTTGGGAGCTCATCTTTGTCCTTGTGCTGGGCCACATGGAAAGTTCTCGAACTAGTCCAGCCACAACATCCCTTCCCTCAGCTCCACCGCCAAGAGCCCTTTAGAAAAAGGAGGACATGTGAGCCACTGCTCTCCTTGGGGCTGGAAGGTCCACTGCCTTAGCGGGTGGACAGCCAGCACCATGCCGGTGGCCTCCTCTAGGTCCACTTTTGTGTGTCCCCGGGGCGCATCACTGCAAGAGGAGACAGTTATGCCAGCCACGCCCCTCACTGGGGTGCACCCTGATCTCAGAAACAGACGTGAGACTTAGGCCTCAGAAGCATGTGACTCGGCATCTTAATGCGTCTTGCAAGGTGCTGGTCAGGGTGACTGTGGCCTCCCCATTTTGTAGATTAGGAAACTGCAGAGGAAGATTAAGTAACTTACTCGAGGCTGTGGAGCTGGTGAGCAGCAGGACTGAGGATCCAACCCATGGGCGCTTACTGCCCAAGCCCAGGCCTGTTCCCAACCCCCATTTCTGGCATCCCACTGCCCTCCAGCTTAGCAATTCCCTCTCCATCTGAACAGCTAATGCCCTTGCCCCAGAGTGGCAGTTGGGAAGGTCTGCACTCCTTGGTGGCACCCTGCCTGTCTGTCTGGCTCCCTCCCCACTCTGCCCATGCTGCACTGCACAGTGGCAGGTCGGACCCATTCTTGATTCCATGCCACATCCCCTCGTCTTGGGGGTCCCCTCACCCACTCTTTCACTGACTTCTCAACCTTGGGGACTTGGGGCAGTTGTGATTTCTGCAGGAAGACCCCAGGATGAGTTAGGTGGCTCCCCACCCGTGCAGACCTCTGTCACTGGACTTAGCTGTGAGGTTCATGTTGTCTACGTTTTGGCGCTCCCTGGGCAGGACCAGGCTTCTGTATCTTTACTTTCTGTCTGCTTAGCCCAGTGTCAGCTCCTAGGATGGGCTGTGATTGGTACCTGTGCAGTGGAGCCCTTGGGCTCTGTATGTTCTTGGGGGGTCAGGCTGGCCCGTGACTTGTAGGCAAGTGACTTTGATGCTGCGCTCCAGGAGGGAATACAGACTTCAGGAGCTAACCAGCACCCCGGGGGCTGGTGGATGCTCCTCACTGGTGGCCACTTAAGACTGATGCTGGCTGAGCTGGAACTTTCTTGGTTAAGATGATAAATGGTCAGATTGGGTTGGCTTAAGCAGAACAGTGAATGAACTGGCATCTTGGGTTATCTCGTGTATAACAAACCACCCCCAAACTTGCTGGCTTAAAACAACGGCTTTATTATCGTTTGTGATGCTGCTCTTGGCAGGGCTCGGTGGGGCCAGCTCATCCCAGCTCCTCACGGGCTCTACTGGGGCAGCTTGAGCAGCCCGGGGCTGGAACAGCTCACCAGGGGCCCCGGGGCCTGGCCTTGAGGCCCACTTCTCACTCCGTGTGGCCAGCTGGGGCCTCGTCTCAGCAGGATGGTCTCAGCGGAGTTGGACTTCTTACATGGCAGCAGGCTCTCTCCAGAGGGCAGATGTTGAATGAAGCTTCCTTGCAAGCCCGCCACACATTCTGTTAGTTAAAGGCGTCCAGGGCCAGCCCAAATTCAGGGGGCGGGGTGCACACAGGCTCAAAGAGCCGAGGAGTCCAGGGCGATGCTCGGAGCAGCAGGCCCGGTCCTGCACGCTCACGCTTACACTCTCGCCCGCCTTCCCTCTGGCTCACTAGCCCTCATTTCTCCCCTCTGGGCTTTGCGGGGATGGGTGTCCCCCAGGCAGGTAGTTTACTCCTTGGGCTTTGGGGCCAGATACCTGGCCTCTACCAGGCAGCTGTGTGGCCTTGGGCAACTTTCCAGACCTCTCTGCATGCCTCCGTTTCCCCCTTGTGGTGAAATGAGTGAGGGAAGGCCCCGGGCCATGCTGCCTGCTGGTTTGAGAAAAGCCCGGGAGCAGTGGGGGGCCGGGGAGCAGTGGG